ATAATTTTCGTTATTGTCAAACGTTTCTTACGAATTTTATTATTATTTTAAAACAAACATTTCTAACGGGGGAAAAAAAACGCGTCACGATGATAATGATAATAATAATAAATACCTGGGAAAAAAAGTATTATTATTATTATTTCCCACCCCCATCCTCGTAAATGAAAAATTTCTTTCAATCAAGTAGATTTGAGTTTTTTTTTTTTGTCACTGACGTTAACGGATATTAAAAATGGCTATTTGCTATTATCGAAAATCGATAAATAAAAATAAAACTTTGACTTTTCAATGAAACGATAAAAATATATATATATTATTATTATTATTATTATTATTATTATTATATATTTTTTTTTCTTTAAAAGCAATATTGTTTTTTTTTTTTAATATATAAACGGTTAAATACACGTCTAAAATGTGTAAAAGACATCAATTAATCGTTTTTTTTTCCCTGACGTTACAATAAAAAAAAAAAAAAAAACAAATTTTAAATTTACTCCGTGACGTAAAAGCGAAAAAAAAAGCAGAAGAAAATAAAATAAAAATTATTGTTATTAAAAAAAAAAAAAAAAATTTTTTCTTTTTTTTTTTTACAACACAAAATGATTTTGATTTATCGATTTATCGATTTTTTTTCCCTCCATCTTTTTAAAATTTAGTAATACGTCAAAATTAAATTAATAAAATAAAAAATTAATAATCGATAAATTATTATTATTATTACTTTCTTCATTACAAGTTTTTTTTATTGATTTTATAAATATTAATTTAAAATCATGTCGTACAAACAAACAAATCAAAAAACAAATTAACAAACGATACGAAAAAAAAAGAAAAGAAATTTTTTTTATTTTTTTCCTTGTTTTAATATTATTATTATTATTAAAACTTGATTTACATAATAAATTTAATCTTTAATTATTATTTATTATTATTATTATTCAATATATAATCTTTAATCCGCGTTCGTAAAAAAAAATTAATTTGTTAAGAAAATTATTTTACTCTTTCGGTCGTGGAAATAGAATTACGTCGTTATTGTCGTTGTTTTCTTTCTTTATGTGACGTCACGTTATTTTTTTTTACAATGACGTAACAAAACACATAAAATAAGTAAAAAAAAAAAACTGAAAAAAATTTCATTTCCGTTTCCGTTAGGTTTTTTTTTTTTTTTAAAAAAAAAACGTAAACGCGTACAACATTTAAATTTTACCCAAGCCGCGTTTTATTATCATTATTATTATTATAATCATCATCATCATTACGATTCTTCATTGTTAATAATAATTATTTATGCATGAATTTATTTAAATTATAAATATTAATTAAAAACAATGAAAAAAAAAAAATGAAACAATCTAATTACACGTCGTCGTCGTCGTTTTTACCTAAACAAAAATTTTTACATTTTTTTTTTTAATTTTCCCGCTTAAAAGTTTTTAAATTAAAAAAATTTCCCCGCTCTTTTATTGATTTCCGACATTTTATAGCAGCGAACGTTTTTTATAATAATATAAAAAATTAATTTCAACAAATTTAACGAGGTGATGACGTCATTACTACGTAGTTTTTTGTTTATCAATCCAAAGTTTCCTTATCAATTTTTATTATTTATTAATGATTATTTATTTAAATAAAATAACCCAAAAAAATTATTATTATTAATTTTTATTACGTTAATATCGAACGATTATGTTAATAATAATAATAATAAAAATAGTAAGGAGAAGAAAACGCGGATTAAAGGGGATTAAGTAAACGGAAACACGATACGAAAGATTGTTTGTTATCTCTATGAGAATGTATATATATATCCGAGACGAAACATGATATCTATTTAAGATATCATGACACTTAAGAACAAAATGGCGGATTAGTTGAAAATTCCATAAGGTAAACACAACTACACTCTCACCACGTGCGTTTTATAATCCTTTGAAATTCCATTCGTAACAATAATTTATACAAAATATTTCGGTTAGTTATTTTTTTTTTGTCCAAGAAAAAATAAAAATAAAAAAATTTTATATTATAATCAAATTAAAAAAAATTAAAAAGTCAAAAAAAAATATGGGTGGGGGAGGGGAAAAGAAAAAGAAATTAAACGTATTTTTAAAGTTTAAAATGTCAAAAAAAGGTATTTTTAGGGTAACAAAAAAAAAAAAAAGGAAAAAAGGAAGAGGAAGAAAAAACTGGAGTAATGGTTGCACTTCAAAACTTAATGAGATTAGTGTTACTCAGCAAAATGTTAGAGGATTGTCAATTTGTCAGTGACATTTTATATTTCTGAAGTTTTTTTAATTCAACATTAAACGTCTAAAAAAAAGGAAAAAAAAAGGAAAGAAAATGAGGCGAGGAGAATAGAGGGAGAACGGGGAAGAAGGGAGGAGGAGAGGAAGGGAAAAAAATTAATATTAAAATGACTTCAATATAATTTTATTCAATCAATTCTTTTTTCATTTTTTAATTAATGAAATCAATAAAATTTTTATTAACTTTGTCGTTTATCATTAAAATAATTTATTATTATTATTATTATTAACGACGAAGACGACAATGATGATAATGATAATAATTATTATTATTTAGGTTATGTTAACGCGAGTGAGAAAAAATCGTAATTAATTGAATTTATTATTTTTTCTTTTTGTGTGTAAGTGACGTAATCAAAACGGTAAATTTTTTTTTTCCTTTTTCCCTCCCTCCCGCCCCCTCGGAAAAGAAAAAAAAAAGGATAAAAATCACTAGCACGTCTTGAAAAAAAAAAGAAAAGAATAAAAAAGAAAATAAAATAAAATCAATCCCCCCACAAAAACTAAAATCCCTATCGTAAAAAAAAAAAAATTTCAAAAATTGAAAATTTGTAATTCGATAACAGATTTTTGTTGTTGTTGTGTTTAAAGCCCTGAAAAAAATCATTACAAACAAAATATATATATATAAAACGGCAGTAATGATGATAATAATAATAATAATAATGATAAGAACATAAACTTGAAACTTAATAATAGTTTTACGTAAAAAAAAAAAAAAAAACCGGAAATACGGACTGTGAAAAATCCAAAATTAATAATTTACCTGAGAATAAAAATCACCTGTGCGAAAATAAAAAAAATAAAAAAAAACTTTTCATTTTACTTTTCCTTTCTTCCTTTTACAATTTTTTTTTTTTTCCTTTGACTTTTCGCAACATTTTTTTTTTTTTTGACGTTTGACGCGGACGTTACACTTACTGCAAATTTTTTCAAATGTGATATTAATGATATAACACGAGCGATGAGACGTCGTTTTTTTCTCCTCCCCTCCTCCCTCCTTCCACTTTCTCCTCCTCCCTCCATCTCCCCCGAATGACGGCGATGATGATTTTTCTTCTTCTAAACCCACTTTTTTTTTTTTTTTTATACCGAAAGGTTTTATTTTTTTATTTTATTTTATTTTATTTTTTTTTTAGTTTCTAACAGAAAAGTACTTAATGAATTCAGAGGAGTAAAACAAAATGAATTTTTACCGAGGAAGAAAAAAAAAAAGGAAAAAAAAGGAAGGAAAAAAAACCTTTTTTCATTCTTTTTTTTTTTGTTCGGTAAAAAAATTTAAAATTCAAATTTTTTTTTTTTTTCTTTCCCGACGTCCTGAAAATCTTCGTGAGATTAAATTGAAAACGAACCAACGACCTTAAATTAAAAGGAAAAGAAAAAACAATTTTTTTTTTCTGGTTAATTTTCGTACAAACGTGAATAATATTTAAAACAACAAACAACAACAAACATAACGTCTGCTATAAAACAATAAGAAATTATTTCTTTCATCACAAAAAAAAAACAAACGAATTAATTTTTAATAAAATAAATTTCCCCAATCCTTTTTCCTAAATTAAATCAAAATCTTAATTATTATTATTATTATCATCATCATCGTAAAATGCAACAAACGCAAACGTTTTATTATTGTATTTAATCCGTCAAATTATTATTTTTTTTATCGCGGATGTAAAAGGTAAAATGGCGCGATATTATTATTTTTTTTTTTAAATTAAAAAACGTGTAAAATAACATCGTTTTGTCTTTTGTTTGTTTGTTTAAATTAGTCATTGTTTGTACACGGTACAAACGTATAAAATCAAAGTTAAATAAAATTTTCCAGAGTTTAAATTTAAGAAATAACGTAATTATAGAAAATATAAACTCGTCAAAAACAAACAAAAATTAAACGTGACAAAATTATATTTATAATTTTATATGTATATATATATATACGCGAATTTAAAATCACGACCGACGACGAAGACGTATCGAGGTGAAAAATAAATAAATACAACAAAACGGAAACGGAAATGAACAAACGAAATTTTCACACTTTTTTAATAATATTACCCCCCGAAAAGAAAAAAATTTTTTTTTCACGATCTATGACGTCATTTTTGTTAATCAAAAAACTTATTCAAAAAAAAAAAAAAAAATTATTTTTTTGGTCGTGACGTAATCGTAATACCAACCAAAAAAAAAAAAAAAACAAAGGAAAAATGGCGGGTGTTGGAAAAAAAAATACTCGGAGTTAAAACGCGGAAAAAATATCGTTTTTGCAAAAACAACAACAAAAAATTGGAATGATAATTTAAGTTTGCAGCGCGTTTTAGTGATGGTCGTGTTAAACAAACATTTATTTATTTTATTTATTGCCACCATCTTTAAAAAAAAAAAAAAAAAAACCTGAGAAATAAATGTTTTACTTTATTAAAACCCGGTTAGACTCTTTAAATGCCTCATTTGTTCCTTCTTTTTTTTTCGTGAGGAGAGAGGGGAGAAGGGAAGGGGAGGGGAGGGGCTTTTAGCGTAACACGTTTCCATCCATTAAACCACTTTCCATTGTTTTTTTCTCCCGTTAAATTTACAAAAGGTTATATATATTTAAACGTTTAGAAGGAGAAGATGAAAAAGGAAACAAATAAAAGGAAAACAAACGCACGAGTACAAACAAACAAACAAAAAAGTGATTCTTACCGTTTTATTGGCTAAATTTTTAACTATGCACGTGAGGTATGCAGAATTACCAACTAAAGCTGTGACGTTTCTTGGCGTCATAGGATCAAAATGTGGTTCGTATTTCGATAATATCGGACTCGTTGTTGCTCCCGGAAGTGCGTTAGCATCACCAGATCCGTGATTTCCTTTACTTACGTAAGACGAATCTATAAAAATAATAATAATAATAATTTAAAAGTTAATTTTAAAAACCTTGAAATTTGAAAGGAAATATTTTTCATCATGACTCATCTATTATCACATTCTTGCGATCGAGACTATTCGAATTCATTTAAAAATAAACGTCATCACGTGACGTTTATTTTTAATCCTTATTATTATTATCTTAGTAAACGAATCGTTTGAAAAATTTATTTATTTTTTTTTTAATAATTTTTTTTGAACGACTAAAAAATTTAAAACGGTTTATTAATCGAAATAAATTTTAATTTTTTTTTTTTTCGTATAAGGAAAAATTTTCCGATTGGAAAATTTTCCAAATTGGAGAAAAAAAACTCGATAAAAAAAAAAGTAAAAATTTGATTTTATATTTTCTCCAGCGAATTCCAGGAAGAAAAAACAAATCAAAGTCGAAATGTAATCATTTGAAAATTATTTAAAATTAAAATTTTTATTAAAAAAAAAAAAAAAAATTTTTTTTCGATAGTTCTTCTTATACAAATAAATAATAATAATAATAGTAAAACAAATTGAAATTGATTTGATTGTTGCTTTTTGGAAAAATAAACAACAACAACAACAAACAAACAAACAATTCAATATTGTAAATTAAAATTATTAAATTATAATTTTAAATACAAACAAACAAACGAACGGAAAAAAAAATTTTTTTAGTATCTTTTCAGCGTAAAATTTTATTCGATAAAAAATTTTTTTTTTTACATTAAGTAAATAGATAATAATAATAATAATAATAATAATAATAATAATAATAATAATAATAATAATAATAATAGTAATAATAATAATAAAACGTTCGATTCGTACATTCGTAAGATTCCAGAACGGGGGCGGGGGGTGGAAAAACATTTTCATTCCGGAACAACTTTAAATTAAATTTAAAAAAACAAAAAAAACAAGGAAATATTTCCCGTATTGTTTTTAAATAATTTTAACAGGAAGTTGAACGAATAAAACATTTAAAAAAAAAAAAAAATTTAACTTGTAAAAAACAGACAAACAAAAAAACAAACAAACGAACAAACAAAAAGATAGATAATTTCGTTTTTTTTTTTTTTTTTTTTAAAGGGTTTTATCTGGAAAACGTCTTTTTTTTTGGAGTGAAAAAAAAAATTATCTGTAAAGAGTTTTCCGCCATTTTTTTTTAATGTATTGTTTTTGTTTTGGGATAAAAGATTAAAAAAAAAAAATTTTTTTTTCCTTCTTCTTCTTTTTCTTAAGATTTAAATAAAAAAAAAAAAAAAAAAAAAGAAAAAAAATTTCCGCTTTGAAAATAAAATAAAATTAAATCGAAATGTTTATTAAAATTATTATTATTATTATTATTATTATTAAGACGATAGTTATTATTATTATGAATTATAAGAAAGTGAGAGAGAAAGGAAAAAAAACTCGAACCGGAAATAAAAAAGAAAGAAGAAAAGAAAACTTAGGTACGTACATTAAGAAAGAAGAAAAAAAATAAAAGTCAAAGTAATTCACATAAAAAAAAATTTCAATTGAAAAATCTCTCTTAAAAAAAAAAAAAAATGGCGAATCGAGTTAAAAAAAGGAACACATCGGTGTTAAACAAAAAAAAAAAAACTTTTTTTTTTTTTTTTTTTTTTTAGAAAATAAAAAACTAGTTCAATTTAAAAAAGGGCAAAAACTTTTTTTTTCCTCTCTCTTTCTCTGTTTTCCCAGAAAAATAGAGTGAAAGGAAGAGAGAAAGAAGAGAGAAAGAAGAGAGAGAGAGAGAGAGAGAGAGAGAGAGAGAGAGAGAGAGAGAGAGAGAGAAAGAGAAAAAGTCTGTTTTCAATTTAAAATGACTGCATTACATTTGAAATGCAAAAACAAATTTTTTTTTTTTTTTTTTTTATTCAAAAGTTGTTTTATGTTAAAAAAAAAAAAAAAAACAAATTAAAAAAAATTTTTTTTTTTTTTGTTTGTTGTCGCCCTGTCGTTGTGAGTAACGACGCGTTTATTTACAATCGTAATTAAAATTCACAACCTCGACAATTTTTTTTTTTTTTTTCGCGACATTTCGTTCGATTTAATTTGTTTAAACAAAAAAAATAAAAATAAAAAATTTAAATTTTACCATTTAACTCATCGTCGTTTCGAAAATATTATTATCATTATCATCGTAACAAAAATTAATTTATTGTCTACTGCTTTATTAAACGTTGCCACACGGCGAATCGAAATCCATGATGTCAATAATAATAATATTATTAAAAATCCCTAAAATATTTTTTTGTACAAAAAAAAACTAACAAGTTACGACGACGATGACGATGATGATGATGGCACCGCCATTTTTTTTTTTTATATATAAATCAAATGTAAAAACAAGAGAGTTCCATTATTTAGGAAAACGGAAATTGGTTTGAGGTCGATGTAGGCCGACGGGTGGGAAATTTTAATTAATTAAATTCTCTTTGTCCCAAATATCGATTCATCGATTCATCGATCGATCGATCAATCGAAAGTGTTGCGTCCTTATTATACGTAAATAAATTTCTTTTTTTGTTTTTATACTCGTAAGATTTACGCGCGTAAAAAACAAACACGTTAATAATAATAATAAAAAAGGAAATTTTCGATTTTTTTTTTATATTCATTTAATTTAATTTAATTTCGAATTTGATTTTTTTTTCTAAAAAAAAAAAGGAAAAAATTTTTTGATGGTTGCTTTGTGAGAAAATAAAAAAATAACGACAAATGTCCGAGATAACAAAAAAAAGAAAAAAGTTTTTTAATGCCAGAAAATGAAAATAACTTTTTCATGTTTTTTTTTTTTTTTTTTTTCTAAAAATGTCGAATTCGAAACGCGTTCCCGGTAAAACGTTTTTAATTAAATAAAATTAGTGATCGGGATTGGGGTTAAGGCATTGAAGGGAGTTGGGGAAGAGGAAGATGAGAGTAGAAGGGCAAAAGAGAGAGAGAAAGAGAGAGACGTGAAATATATATATATATATAAATTATATAAAGTTAAAATTTTTCTTAATAATAATAAAAATTTAATAAGAAAATTTTCGTGAAAGTAGTGGAAAAACACTTTTCTAGAAAAGTTTTCTTAATTCGAAATCAAAAGTGAATTTTAACAAATAAAATTTTGTAAACATTTTCTAAGCTTGGGGCCATTTTTAAGAGATTATAATAAGTTTAAAAGGGTTTGACTTAAATCAAAGAATCAAATCCCTCTGAGAGGAAGAGAGAGAGAGGAAAGGATGACGTCGACGATGACGTCATCGTCGACGCGACGAATTAAAGATCAAAAGGTTTCAAATCGAAAAACCTTTCTTTTTCTTATTTAAAAACAATAATAATAATCTATTTAATCTTTTACTTTTTTTTTTTGTTATCGATAGCAAATTGTAAACTTTTATCAACAAAAAATGCTTCGATGAACGACTGCAAAAAAAAAAAAATTTATTTATTTTTATTTATCGCAAAAACTTTTATTTAACCGAATCACGAACGACTCGCGATTTATATATTTTTTTTTTTATTTCTCTTGTTCTTTCTATTGACACTACGTTTGTTTGCTAAGGTTTAAATGTAGAAAAAGAGAGAGAAAGAGAGAGGGGGAAAGAAAATTTTCTACGAAACAAAATAAATAAATAATAATAATAATAATTCGAGTTAACAAGAAAATAAAAAAATTTTTTTTTTTATTCCTTCATTTTGTTTTTTTTTTTTATTCCTTCATTTTGTTTTTTTTTTTTTTGGGAGGAGGAGAAGGGACAGGGAGGTCGAACAAACGCACTTACGCACTCACGCATGTGGTACTGCACGAAAATATATAAATATACGAATGCAAATCCAATATTTTGGATATTGAAAAATTTTCTTTTTTTTTTTAAATTCAGCAAAATCGGGAAATCGAATTATTCTTATTCTTCCTTTTTGTCCCTCCTCGCCCCGCCGCCTGCTCCGCCCCCTCTCTTCCTCACTCACAAAAAACTTACATCCGTTTTTTGTTTTTTTTTTTTCCCCTCCATTCCTCACCGCTACCACCGCCACCGCCGCCGACTCCTCATCGTAACTTTTTTGCATTTTATTTTCGGATAACTTTTTAATTTATATACATGTCCCCATATAAATTTTTTTTTTTATATCGTTAAACGAAACAATAAAAAAAAAACAAAAGCTCAAAAAAGTAATTTTTTTTTTTTTTTTTTTTTTTATTAAAAAAATTCAAATCTTTGAACAAAAAGTTTTAACAAAAAAAAAATAAAATAAAAAAATAAAATTATAAATTAGAATTCAAAAGTAAATAAAATTTATATAAAAAAAAAAAAAATTTCAAGTGGAAAAATTAAAAAAAAAAAAAAAAAAATCTTCACTTTATGAAAATAAAATTTAAAAAGTTTCGAAATAAAAAAAAAATGGGGGGATTGGGGGGACTGGGAGAGGAGGAAGTCTCTGGGAGAAACGTCTCCTTCTCTTCCCCCCCTCCTCTCACTTTCCTCCTTTCTTTTTTTTTAAAAAAATTTTAATATTCATCAACAGACTTTAAGCAAATATTTATATATTTTTAAAAATTCATTTTTTTAATCCCACCCCTCTCCCCCTCTCCTCTTTCCTCCTCACTCCCCACCCTTATTTGCCTCCCTTTTTTTTTTTTTAATAACGAAAAAAACAATGAAAAGAAAAAAAAATTTTTTTTTTTTTTTTAATAATAAAATTACAAAAAGTGGATTTTTTTTTTTATCAAAGAAAATTTTTATCAATGAACAGTAAAAATTAAAATTCCACGTATAAAATATATTATTATTATTATTATTATTATTATTATTATTATTATTATTATTAATTATTATTATTATGTTAATAATGATAATAATAGTAGCAGCAGTAGAAATCGTTATGGT